CAGGAGCCCGCCCCTCTTGGCTGGCCGGCACCCCTTGGCAGCACCCACGAGCCTTGGAGACCCCCCCGGCTCCACGCACCCCCCCCATTTCTCCCCATCGCCAAGACCTGAGGCCCCTCACTGCAGCAGCAGCCCCAGTTAAGATCCCCAAGCCCAAGGGTGGCAGGTCCCCAGGGCACAAAAGGGGACCCTAAGGCCACCCTAGGATGCAAGAGGGGGCCCAGGGCCCAAAGTGGGGACCCTAGGGTCACCATAGGCCCAAAGGGGGCACCATAGGGACCAAAGAAGGCAACCCAGGGCTCAGAGGGGGTAACCCAGGGCCACCCCAGGCCCAAAGGGGGTACCTCAGGGTCACACTAGGCCCACAGGGGACACTGCAGGGACTAAGGGGGCACCCCTAGGCCACCCTAGGTCCAAAGGGAACACTGCAGGGACCAAAGGGGGCACCCTAGGGCCACCCCAGGCGCACAGGGGACACTGCAGGGACCAAAGAGGGAACCCCTGGGCCACCCTAGGCCCAAAGGGGGGACCACAGGGACCAAAGGGGGGACTCCAGGACCATCCTAGGCCCAAAGGGGACACTGCAGGGACCAAGGGGGGCACCCCTGGGCCACCCTAGGCCCAAAGAGGGGACCCCAATGCCATAAGAGGGGACCCCAGGGACACCCTAGGCCCACAAGAGGGACCCCAGGGCCCAAAGAGGGGACCCCAGGGCCACCATAGGCCAAAGAGGAGACCCCAGGGACCAAAGAGGGGACCCCAGGGACACCCTAGGCCCACAGGGGGGATCCCAGGGCCATTAGAGGGGACCCTAGGGCCATAAGAGGGGACCCCAGGGTCACCCTAGGCCCATAGGGGGGATTCCAGGGACCAAAGGGGGCACCCTAGGGCCACCCTAGGCCCACAGGAGGGACTCCAGGGCCCCCTAGGCCAAAGGGGGGACCCCAGGGACCAAAGGGGGCACCTCAAAGTCACCCTAAGCCCAAAGGGGTCACCCCAGGGACCAAAGAGGGGACCCCAGGGACACCCTAGGCCCACA